CAAAGCCGTTTATTTTGTTGCAGCACATCTCCCCTAAGTGTAACTCAAGGTTTACCTAGGCAATTCTTTTGTACCCCCACCCATAACTTTGTCTGCAGCGCCTGACTGGCTGCAGGTGAGCTGTAATTAAGCAGGGAGCAGACATTAGGGAGCAGATGAGCTGCAGGGAGAAACACAGCAGCAGCTTTCTACCATCTGATCCTGCAGCAGCAGACACGTAGTATAGTCTGACGCTCGCCAAGTAAGCTTCTAATTCACTCCTCCTCCTCGTTCTCTCTCTCTGTTATGCTCACACCCACCACACACACACTGTAGAAACCTTCACATTATCCATGTGTCTGCCTTTTCTTTTTTTTCTGTCACAGAAGACGGTGGAATGCAGTTTGTCTGTCAGGGCAAAAGAGAAGCAGGAAAAAAGAAAAAAAGAACGCCACCTCATCATTCTGTGATTCAACTTCCAGCTCTGATCTGATCAACACAATGTCACTAATCCAAGAACACATATCAAAAAGTATCCAAATGTAAAAAAAAAAATGTCTCCAATGGAGAAAATGGAACCAAACCAAATAACCTCTCAGCATACCTAATACCTTTATGTAACAAACAAAACACTTTTAATTACATCATGCTAATAATAGTGGTTTTTTATGAATATGGTCCAGGTTTTTGGACATGAAATTGCGTGAAACATTCACGCAATTCTAGGTGTGGAAGACAGTTCCTTCTAGGTGTGGAAGACAGTTCCTGTAAACAGAAATAAAATAAAAAGCTAAATGACACATCAGTCAGCAAAAGTTGTTTATAAAGGGGAATTATTAAGCCATTATTACTGATGGAGAAAATGTACAAGCCATATATACTGTATTTTTTGTTTTTATATAAAACTACACTACAGACATTGAAAAGACGACATGATTTACTTCCAAGCCAATCTACATTTGTTTGAAAAGTGAAAGGTGAAAAGCCGTAACTTTCAGATCGTTGAAAAGTCATTGAAAACTGGGTTTGAAAGCTTCTTTTCAACATCTATTGTTGGATTGCTGTAGGACAAAATCAGACCGACCAAACGCAGCCTATTTTTCAAAAACTGTTTCTGGACTAAATCAACGCTATGATAAACCAACCAGAACATCTACATGATTTCTGGTATTCGGGAGGCCTCATCTCAGCTGTCCTAAAAAATAGTGAACACGTTTTTTTTTTATAAAATTGAAAATAGAGAAAAATGCAGTCAATGAAATGCGGAATGTTCTTCAGAGAAAATGTGTGGCTTTTATTAAAGCTTTTAATTCAACCCTCGAAGGACTGATTTTTGGTGCCACCTCCAGCAGAGAGACCAGTCAGCCAAGGCCCCTCTCCCACCCTAGCTCGCTGTCTAAAAGCGGGTTCCCATCAATCTTCAGCTGTCCTTCTCCACTCTCCTGAGCTAACATCGTCAGACCGCCATATCTCCGGCGCTCCGGTGCTTTTGCTTAAAATTAGCATGGCCAGCAAAAGCAGTTTCCCCGGTCGGTGGAAGCATTATTGTTGATGAGCTGCTACTTTTATTTTGGTTTGCAGGAACTGTTTATGTGGCAGAGTAAGGACAAAAGGGTTGGGTTGGGATCTCTGTTCCTATGCATAGAGATTTGGCATGCACTCACCTAACATAGACCTACCTACAGCAATAACTCCAATAACAAACGATAATTTCATTCAAAATGTATTTATTAAAAATGCTTAACAATTCCTGTAATGAATGAAAAGCACAATGAAAGAAATAATGTATCATCTAAACATCCCTCACTTAACAATAAAATTTAACAATAACTCTCAATTCCCAATAACACATGATACTCAGCCTCAGTAATGAATTAAATAATGTCTGTTCTGTAGGCTTTTGGAAAAAATAAATTAACAAATGAGCTAATTAACAAAAAATACCTGTTGTGTAGCAAAAATTATTCAAAATGTACCAACAACGAACAAACATATCATTAGACTATCTTTACTTTCAGAGTCCAGGTGGCTTTTCAGATCCCTTGCAACTCCATTGGACACCGAGACATATGTGCACAAGGCCTCCCATTTGTCTCGACCCGGTCTGAAAGCGGGAAAACTCTTTTGTAAATCGTCGGTAAACATACATTTGCGCTTTTGCATGTTGTTGGCGTACTGACAGCCACGCAATCTATATTCTGATTAAGAACAGGGCTGCCCGCACTGACGCGGCTCAGGGATTACATCACACGCAGTGTCGTGCGCAGTGCCCTAGCGCCTGTAAATGTAATGGTCCGATTAAGGTAATTTAAAAAATCAGGACATTTCCTCACTTTCTAAAAAAAACCCGGGACGCCCGGGACAGGACGTGAAATAAGGATATTTCCCAGGAAATACGGACGTTTGGTCACCCTAATCACATTTAATGTATTTTTTATGCATTTGAGTCTTTAAAATACCTAAACTTGTACAAAAAGATTGTCTGCATCATTTCTAATCAGATGGTAGTATCCAAAAATAACTTAGTACTCATGTACCCATTTTACCAAATACTTTTTTTACTTTACTTAAGTCATTTCTTGAATACGTTTTTTTTTATACTTTTACATTTGAGTAAAAAGTAGTGCTACTCTTACTGAGTACAGTCTTTGGATTTTCGACCCACCTCTGATGTTTTATACTAAAAATACTAGTAAGAATATGTTAAAATAGTAGTACTGAGAAAAAAGTATGCAGACGGACAGCAGCCAAAGTTGGGTGTCTGATTAAAACTATTAACATGATGGTGGCAGCATCGTGCTGTTGGGATGCTTTCCTTTATCCAAGACAGGGAACCTTGTCTGATTTAATTGGAGAAAAAAAAACGTTTAGAACCTACCTTTTCGCAGGGACACAACTCTAAAGTTACTTAAAAGAATTGTAAAATCAAAGCGTGTTCGCATCAGTTATTTTTTCAAAAACAAAAACTTAATGTAAAGTAGATGTGTAAAGCTGACAATGAGCACCCAAAGTGATTACTGATTAATCCTGCTAATCGAACAACCACATTAAAATTGTAATCAAGCATTTTTTTATGTTAATAATTCTAAAAAATAAATAGAATAAAAAATAAATAAGTAAAAAAGCTTAAAGGGAATGAATGAGTATACAAAACAGTCTAATTGTTGGTTCAGATTCAATTGTAATTCAATGTAATTTCCTTCTGCGATTATTACAGTAGGTCTAATTCTGAAAACTAAAAACTTAAAGAATGTTGTGTAAAAGAAATGAAAAGATCCGGAAGCTTGGTAAAACAGAAGGAAAGCAAATGTAATTGAAGGTTTAGGTGATTAAAACGCTAAGATTATAAAATATGGACTGGCAGCGCCTTTGAGAAATTTTTTGGCACTGGCTTATACCCTCTGGACTAAGTTTCTGGTAAAAAGGCATCAAAATAAAGCAGTGAAATGTGCAGTTTTCTTTTATTGTTTTAGTTTGAAAGCTGATGGCCTAAATTAAAGAGTACATAATGATGTAAACTATGTCTTTTAAAATAAAATTCTGAACGGTCTTTCACAAAACCCCTCCTAAGACATTGTATTTGGAGGTCACTGGGTAAAAAGCTGCCTGCTGTTTGGGGGAAAACCTTATAAATGTTTGGAATGCTCAGGCGGTCATTTTTTGTTCAAGAGGAAGCAAATTAAACATGCACATAGGTGTAGCAACACAGTTCTTATATGTTTAATCTAATTTGAGCTCAGGGAAAGATTTATAGCGGTTTATTTTGTATCAGCAGTGAAGCAAAACAGACTCTAATTTTCACCAATCCTCTGGAAGAGACAAATCTTGCTCAGGATTCTTGAAAAAAAAGAATGGCAATGGTTCAAGACAATTAACTTTTAAAACAAAAATACAACCATTGCATTCTCTTATTTTAAGTGCATAATATCTAATTATCGTCTTTTAAGAGTAAAGGGTATTCCATTAGCAGATCATCTTATTTTCCTGCCCAAATTAACGATAAATACAATGATTCATTGCATTAGATGTTATGACATCTTGTTCTCATTTTTGTATTGTATGGTGAAAAAGATTTTTCAGATTAATGCAAGGTAAATAAATATATGTCATTATCCATCAATGCCACTACACTCTTGACTCACTGACCTAATCTGATCTTTTATTGTTAATAGGCGGTTACAAATGAACCTTTTCGATGCATTTCAAGACATGTTTAGTTGTCCATTAATCAAGGTACACTGAGAAAGAAAGACTTATCACTCATATATATTGCCAGAGAGTATTTTCAAAGTCTTCTAGCTGCAAATTAAGTTTTTAATACAAAAATATAGTTAAAACAAATTTAAATTGGATCACCCAAAGATGCTAATCAGATAAATGTAAGATGATGATTGTTTGTGAATTGTGAATCAAGGTAATGTGAAAAAGAAACACAGGCTAATTTCCCATATTTAGGCTATCTTAAAGCAGTGACAGTTGAAACTACACTCTTCTATGGGTTAAATCTCCATAAAACAATATACAAGGCAGTCCGAACTGAAAATAGCATGAAATCCAAGTAAATCAGAAGGTGAATCACAACCAAACAGAAATCTAGATTAAAAGCAGGGTTACTGAAGATGGAAATCCTCCTCTGCCTCTCCAGTGATCATATGGATCAAGTTTCCCCCTGCTCAAACCCCTCCTTCCTCAGATCCAGGCATGCTGTGCAATTATGGAAGGAGGGACATGCTTTTTCTCCTTCTATTTTTTTTTTTTTCCCTTTGAAGGAGATGTTCTTTCTTGTCTTCCCTAAACGTGAGCAGCAGCAACGGGCTAATGAGGGTGCACCCCCCCTTAGTCGGTCCTGTCCCAGTACCTCCCAGTTCTTTGGGCTCCCATATAAAAGCCCTTGTGGAAAATGAGTGCAGGCAGTAGGGAGTTTTCTGCTGGGGTCAGGAGGACTTTGGACAGACGCACGGATCCTGCCCCAAACACCCCTGTATGAGTGGAGTGTAGCAGAAAGAGAAAACATCCCCAACTTTTTTCCTCTTTTGCCTCAAAGAGTCTACATGTCTGGTGGCATCTAGACATGTTCAGCTTTGTGGATTTGCGGCTGGCGCTGCTGCTTGGCGCCACGGTGCTCCTGGTCAGGGCGCAGGGCGAGGACGACCGTAAGTTTCATCAGTTTGTTGGAGCCTCTCAACACTTTTCTCCCTTTTCATTAAAAAAAGGATGGATTTCTTCTTAATGGCTGGACGGCTGAGATCTTAGAAAGAGAAGAGGAGAATGCAAAATAATTTAAAAATTAGATCTCTAAAGGTTGGTAGTCTGTACAATAGACAGAACAGGGTGTGCGTAATCGATCGGGCATCTCAAAAAGGCCTCACTCTCTCCTCCTCCTCTTTGTTCTCATCTAGTACTCCCCCACTTTTCCAATGCATGCAGAGCAAGTTGCTGCAAGTTTTTTTTTTTACTTTTCTCCAGCTCAGTGGAATAAGTCAATGCACAGATGACATGTACAGAGCCTTCATAAAATTTAAAAAATTGTTTCTCCCATTTAATCAGTTTTACATTGCTTCCAGATTTCCACTAGATTTACATAAAAGTTATCTCATGCCTGATCGAAGTGGCAGTGCTATTCACAGCCCTTGATTCAGTAAGAACAAGGGAGTCACATGCTAAGGAAAATCAGGAGGGGAGAAGCAGGTTTAGTCTTGCCTGGTGGATAGATATAAACAACTTTACGTACATAAACCTACAACAATGCTTTGCTACTGAAAAGCCATCAGAAAGGAACATAAAACTGTTATCATCTGAGAAGACAAAGAAAACCAAATCAAATCTTGGGAGAGGGACCATGGAGTTGATATTCAGTTTTCCAGATGTTCCTCTTATCTGGAAAGGACTCAGCTGTCTATTTGAAGCAGATCGGCTGTGAGACTGAGAGTGAACTTATAGCGACACCCATAGGCTCCTCTGTGCATCCAGTAACATCTGGCTGCCACGTCAATTCCCCTCCTACACTGTTCTCCACTTTCTTTCCGCTCATTTTTTTTTGTCTGGCTTCCTTTGATTGCAAACACATGTGCAGAGTTTCCACCAGCCTCTGCCAAACTAGCAGTCTTTGGCCCTAGTGCTTTGCCTTCTCTGAGCTCAGCGCTTTGGCATGCCGCAAAATTTATATCTCCTCTGAAAGCAGAACTAGGACTGAAAATATTTTAGGTGGAAATTTTAGCTATGGCTTGCTGTACAGTTAGATAGATCTTGACACATAGGTAGATTGTAACCTCTCAGTCACCCTTGACCCGTTGGTCTCTTTCACATCTATGAACAGCCAAAAGTTTTTTGTCAAAAGCACTTTGTTAAATAAAAGATTCCATCCTGGAATAGCAAAGATATATTTCTTTTCTTTTCTAAAACTTTTTTTCTTCCTAAATGGATGAAGAAAGCTGATGTCACAATATCTACAAGTTAATTAAATTATTATTGAATCTTAAGTTATTCTCTGGTAAAATAATTAATTAAATAAATCAAACTTTAATTAAGTAAATCTATCTTCATAATAGGTTTTAAAATTTATATTTCTGACTACTACATATGTGTCTTTCTCTCTGTTGCCGCCCCTCAGGTACAGGTGCCAGCTGCACCCTTGGAGGCCAGGTGTTTGCAGACCGGGACGTGTGGAAACCAGAGCCATGTCAAATCTGTGTGTGTGACAGCGGAACTGTGTTGTGCGATGAGGTTATCTGTGAAGAGCCAGCTGACTGCCCCAACCCCATTGTACCTACGGGCGAGTGCTGCCCCGTTTGCCCCGATGATGGTACTACAGCTTTAAGTGTTTGCATGATTCTCATGAAATGTTGAACCTTTACGCTATACATTGCACCGTTTGCAAAGTTCCAAAACAAATTTTATTAATTCATCTTTTAAAAAAGATTAAACAACATTAGAGGTTTGCTTAATCTAAATTTAGGCCGACTATCATTATAATAAATAATTCTTTTATCTGCTAAATTTATATATTGTTTTATTGTACATTCCAAATTTTGTGTTTCTTCTTTTCAGGCTACCACTCTGCTCAGGTTGAGGTAAATGTGAAATTATTTATATTGATATCAATAAATCAATTGTTCAGATTAGATAAAAAAAAAAAACTGTTGGTGTTTTAGGAGCTGTTAAAAAATATTTTGTTATAAACAGTCTTTACTGAGATTAACTAGTATTTATTGAATAAAAAGTAAAAGTTTTATTTTTTTTTGCTGTTGTTTACACAGGCTAATGATATGTAGTAGAACAGCATCATGGACGTATATTTCTGTGTGTCAGTTTTCATATTATTATATGAAGACCAGTTTTGATGGTTTTGCCAACAGGGACCCAGAGGAGAACGTGGACCCAAGGGAGAAAGGGTATGTTTATAATTTTGTTTTCTCTGGATTTGCTCGATCCACAGCTTTAAATCTTGTCAGTGTGTATAAGTTCAGGCACGTTGACCAGATTCCTATGTCCTTAAGTTGGAGCCAAAATACCTTATTGACAATGCAGAAGAGGTTTCTTCATGTGTTCTTTTCCAATGATAGTGAGAATATGGCATTGAAAAAGTCTCCAACAGTGCAGGTTTAGTAACATGTTAACTGAATGTTTGTACTTTAATATAGTCCCTCCTGAAATTTGCACTAAAAGCTTCATTTGCACTTACTACATCTGTTTCTACCTTTATTAATAGTAAGCAAGTTACCTGAATGCAAAAAACATTACTAGTTACATTAACAAAATATTGGTACATAACATAGATGTGTTTGTCATTTTTATTTAACAAAATAAGACTTGAGTTTATTTACTCAAACGTATTTTTAGCATGTTAAGGGAAAGGGCTGGTTTTTGCTCCAAAAAATTACCATCAGAATATATTATGGAACGATAGGTTATAGAACAATAAATGTTGGTCCTTAACATACGATCATAATGGGCTATTGTGTGCACTTCTAAAATCTTTGAATAAATGATTTTAAATTATTATTTTGTTGTTTTTATGCAGCTAACTAGTTTTGTGGCAAGCTAGCAGCTAGTTATGCAAATGAACAAGCACATATATATGTTGGCAATATTATCTTACTGTAATTATTGTGAAATAGCTTAAATTAATGCTTTGCAGACTTGGCACATCTACTTCCTGTATGTTGATGTCACATGACCACAGCCTCTGTTTTTGTGCCTGATTATGCGGTGATTAGTGTAAAGAAGCAAACTGAGATTTTGGGATATTTCAAGTTTTGTTTTTTAAAGATGACAAGCTTTTACACAGACTATTACGATTATTATGGAATTTTAAAAAGCTGTTCCAAAAAATAGTTTTCAGGAAACTCAAAAAGGAAAACTTTGCCTTCTGTATTTCCATAAGTTGATCATGGCATCAATAATAGTAATTCAAATGACACTCTTGCCACGATTTTGAAATCTACTTTCTTTCTCTCTAGGGTCCTCCTGGTCCTCCAGGTCGAGATGGTCTTGACGGTCAGCCTGGACTGCCAGGACCTCCTGGCCCTCCTGGACCCCCTGGCCTCGGTGGAGTAAGTTGTCATGTTTTTTTTTTTTTTTTTTTCTTTGCATAATTTTCTGTTTTTACTAGTTTTGGGTTTAGAATGGGGAATTATGAGCCAATCTAGGCCGGTGACACCAATCACATTATATGTTTCCGTAAACTTGGTAATACCATAAAAAAAAAATTCTTTATTTCTTTTGCAAAAAACATTTTAAAAATCACATTTGTGAGCCGCCATGTTGTGCTTGTATTCTTATGTTTAACATTTGAGAAGACCTAAAGTTGCAAAAAGGATTTCCTGAAATTCCAAGTTGCCTTGTGGTATTTCATTTAGTATGAAACTGAATTACTTTTGGAGAGTTGGCATGTAAGTCTGATCTGATCTCAAAAATGAGTGTTTCATATTGAATTCTGCTTCAGGATATGTCATGGTGAGGATTTAATTTGTAGAGAAGGGGATGCAAAGTTTATTTTTGCATTCTCAATATTGTTTCTATTATTCTCAATATTGTTTCTATTATTATTATTATTATTATTATTATTATTATTATTATTATTATTATTATTATTATTATTATTATTATTTTTTTTATTATTATTATTATTATTATTATTATCTATTTTTTATATCAGTGCAGATTACATTTTCAAGTATAACTGGAAATTGCACAAAAGCATAAGAAAACCTGGAGCAAAATCTATGAGTTGCTGGGCTTTATTTACAATCTAACCTTGTGTAAACAATCAATCTTCAAGGCCCAAGATCATTTACCGTATTGTAGATTTCTATTGAAGCTTGGAAATTTTATATAAATTACATTTTCTGTCTTGCTAAGTGTGCTAGATGACTTAATGCAACATAATACTAGGCTAGAACAAAATCTTAAATTTTGTCTCAACCATAAGGTTTTGATAGATTAGGAATAATAACATTGCTAGCTTCCTTTTTCAATTTTAAATAGAACTTTATTTATCTACCTCCATCCCTATATTTTACATACTTAGTAACTACTAGAAGATCTGTTATAATTAGTGTCACTAACCTCAAGCCATGTCATAACTTGCACCATGCTTAGCTAAGTTAACAGCTAACATCTGTTTTATTTCATTGATCAGCCTCAACAGGCCAAATTTTTTATAGTTTTTAAATTGTTTTGGTCTTGTTAAATATTAATTAAAATTATCCCCACTAAATGTGTAGATTGGGGCTAGTTCTTGGTTTTGTTAATAAGCTGTATGAAAGTTTTTGGCAAACATTGCTCTTGGTGAATCGGTATAAGACGTTAAATGGATACAGATCTCTAAAACGACATGTCTGTTTTCTTTATGTGTTTTAGAACTTCTCCCCACAGATGTCTGGTGGCTATGATTCAAAATCCACTGTTATGCCTGTGCCTGGACCAATGGTAGGACATGCGCACTCAAAGAGGTTTCTATTTCTGTCCTTGTGCTTTAAGATGTTGGTGTTTCTAATCTCTTCCATGTTTGCCTAACAGGGTCCAATGGGACCACGTGGACCTACCGGACCTCCTGGTCCTGCTGTAAGTGCAAAACCTTCCTCCTTTTAGAGACAGAAATATAATGTTAACACTGATTGTCTCATTGCATTGGTCTTTTCAAAATTGATAATTTATTAATTCTCATTCTCATCCTCCATAAATTATATTTGTTAGCCCCAGCTTGATCTATCAAAGTTGGTTTAGAAATTTGTACAGTCAATACAT